GGTGGGTGGTGAGGGAGGGTAAATCCCGGGGCCAAAACCACGAGACTGGAGGCGAGTTATCCCCCCTTTTCCCGGGAACAACACCAAGAGGATTTGCTGCAAATAAAACTGGATCCTCGTGAGGGGAAACCCCCTAAACCCGGAGGAGATGTCGTAAATCTGGACGTTGAGAAAGCTGAGAAGTTGACGGAAAATGAACGACACCTGAACACCTCCCATACGGCGGGAACAATGTCTACTAATCCTTCATTGCTGCTCGCACTGCCTTACCGGCCTCGCTTTACGTCCTTTTTACGTCCTCTAAGACGGTATCGCTTGCCTGCTGCTGTATATATACCCGTGCGTGGTCTACCGCTCTCGGCTCTGGAACACGGCGAGCTCGTAAAATGTAGGTAGCCTCTATACCTACCTGAAACTAGAATGGAACTCGTGGTTCGGGCACGTTTTGTGAATCTGACGCGATGGATACAGACTTTTTAAAAAGAATGAATTAGAAATTAATTATTTCTAGCTTAGTTCACCTTTTCTACTACTCATGCATTGTTGCCTTTAGTGCAGTCTGATCTTTACTCTTCCCGACATACTTGCACGTGTACGGTGAAGATTGTACTGTGTTCTGTGCACGTCCCCCCTCCCCCTCCCCTCCGCCTGTCCCTTTTCTCCTTCAGCCTCTCTCATTTCAGGTTTCCAATATATATAATGTCACCAATCATCATAGCTTCTTAATTTTCGAGGTCCCTAATTAAATAACACTATCTCTTGATGTCTTTTTTTCTTTCTGTCTTTACAAATGCCATTCGGATCTGTCTTGCACAAGAATTTCGGAGCAACAAGAAATAGAATTTTGAGGAGGGGGAAAACCAAGCGGCGGACCTCCCAAATTCAGTTCTACAAAGCCATAAAACAAAGCAAGCGCTTCCAAGCCAATCTGTCCCCAAATCCACTGGCACAAAGGTCTTTCTGGAAACAGGTCTATATATCCACTTTCTGGGAGGATCCCCTTCTCAACATGGGCGCGCCAAGCCTACGGAGATACACGAATCGTTCTTTTCCTGGACATGGAGCAGAAGCCGAGAACGTGGCCCCCTCTCTTCCTCGCGCCCCAAGATTTTATGTAAGCCCTTGATTAATATTGGATAACGCGTACAGGGTAATTAATGTCACCACTGTTACTTGTGAGGCAATGTGATTGAGAGGGAAACTGCAAAAAATGGAAGGCGAGGCTTGAAAGAAGAGAAGTGGTTTGTAATTAATGGAATTTTTGGGGGTGTTTTTTAAAATAGTTTTTTTTTTAAAGTTTCAAACATAGGGAGGGTGGGGGTTCGGATAGGGGGTTGGG